AGAAGCAGGCTTCCTGCTGAGCAGGGAGCCCGATGCGGGGCTCAATTCCAGGACCCTGGGATCATGACCTGAGCTGAAGGCAGACGCTTAACAACTGAGCCACCCAGGCGCCCCATAACTTAGCTTTTTAAAAACTAACATGATACCGTGAAATTTTATCAGTATTTGTTCTGTATGAAGAAAAAATAAAAGTAAGAGGTGAGTACTTCAATATTTGCTATAATAGCTGTTTATTAGACAGATCTCTTAGACAAGCTAAGGTATTTAATTATTTTTCGGTGCATATGAATGGCAGTCTTAGGAGCTGTGTTTCACAAGGGGCAAGTCCCAAGAAAGCAAAGCAGATGGGCAAAGACAGCATCAGTGAAGCAACATCATAAAATGTACAATATTGGATGTTAGACAAATAAGATTAGTAGAGACAAGTTTCATGTCATCAACTCAAAAGCTGCAGAGAAGCTTTCAAACAAACAAAAATGCACAAATGACACCTTCTGTTCTTTTCTTTAATCCATCAGATCTTTAAGTGACAATCATAAGCAAACTCCCTAACATTGTTCTAAATCTAAACAATTCAGTTTAAAGAAATTATTGGAAAATATAACAGAGAAAAGTGAAAAATAAACAACTGTACAGATCAAAGGATCATCAAGAAGCAAACATCTTTCCAAACACCACGTAAAGGGGCACCTGGGTGGCTCAGCCGGTTAAGTGTCTGCCTATTTTAAAATTTTATATAAATGGGCTCACACAATGTTGTTTTGTTTCTGATTTCTTTGAACAATTTGTTTTTGTAAGAATCATTTATGTTGTTGTGTGTACTTGTAGTTCATTTGCAATATGGAATCACATGCTTGAATGTACTACATTTATTTATTCATTTGCCCTTGATAAACATTTTTGCTCTTTCCAGTTCAAAACTATTATAAATAATGATTCTATATGCATTCTTGTTTGTGTCTCTCGATGCACATAAGCACACATTACTGTTGGGTTTATATTTCAGAGTGAAATTACTGGATCGTATAATATTCAAATATTCGATTTTGGTACAAAAAGTGAAGCAGATTTTCAAAGTGTAGTAAATTTAAACTCTCATCAGCAATGTATTTAGGTCTGTTTTTCTTCTCTTCTATAGGATACTTAACGAGAGTTTTGCATCTTTAGTTTGATATCCTACATCAGATTTGAAACAATCTTTGTTATTTTTTTTTTTTTAAGATTTTATTTATTTATTTATTTGACAGAGAGAGACACAGCGAGAGAGGGAACACAAGCAGGGGGAGTGGGAGAGGGAGAAGCAGGCCCCCCACGGAGCAGGGAGCCCAAAGCGGGACCGATCCCAGGACCCCGGGACCATGACCTGAGCCGAAGGCAGACGCTTAACAACTGAGCCACCCAGGCACCCTGAAACAATCTTTGTTATTATATCTCCAATTTTTTTGCCTTAAAATCTTAGTCTTCTTCAGGACTTCAATTTCATGTATCTTGGATGCTCTCTATCGCGTATGTCTCTTGCACTATCTCCATTTTGCTTAACAGTTACTTCTTTATTCTTTTCCTCTTGCATTTTACTATAAGTAGCAAGGAGAAACGAGGCTGTACCTTTAACACTTTACTTGGAAATCTCCTCAGCTAAATATCCAAATTCATCATTGACAAGTTCTACTTTATACCCAACAAAAGGACACAATTTAGCCAAGTTGTCTGCCACTTATAACAAAGATCACCTTTCTTCCAATGGCCAGTAACATTGGCCTCATTTCTTTCTGTCACCAGAAGCACCTTTAATATTTATAATTCTACCAATATTCTATTCATGACAATATGAGTATTCTCTAAGATGACAGAAGCTTTCTCTACTGTGTTCTCATTTCCAACAGAACCATCATCAGAACTGCCTTTGATGTCTATATTTCTATGAATTGTCTCTTCAAGGCAATCTAGGATTTTTCTATCATGCACTTCAAAATTCTTCCAGCCTCTACCCCATTACCCAATTCCAAAGGAATTTCCTCTTTTTTAGGTATTTGTTATAGGAGCAACTCACTTCTGGTACCAAAATCTGCCTAAGTTTTTGAAGTTTACCACAAAAATTATTATAATTGGGTGGCTTAAAACAGTAGGAATTTATTTTCTCACAGTTCTGGGGGCCAGAAATCTGAAATCAAGGTGTTGACAGGGCCACAATTCCTCCAAAAACTGTAGGGGAGAATCTTTCCCTGCCTCTTCCAGTTCCTAGTGGCTCCTGGTGTTCCTGGGCTTGTGGTAGCATAACTCCAATCTGTGTCTCTGTTTTAACATGGACTTCTGTGTGTGTCTATGTCTTCCCTTCTTTTCTTATAAGAAAATCAGTCATTGGATTTAGGGCCTATTCTAATTAAGTATGACCTTAACTAATTACATCTACAATGACCGTAATTCCAAATAACTTCACATTCTGAGGTTCCAGGTGTTCACAAATAATGTCAGTGGACATTATTCAACCCTCCACACTCTTCAGTGTCTTTGAACAGAAAAAGAGTCTGCATTGTCTGAATGATGTAATCTGCCAACTAAAATCAACTAATTTTAACTAATATTTCACTAGGGCCCCACATTTTGAGGGATCTGATATTTCTTTGATGAAACTGTTATTAGACTGGTTGGAATTAAAGGAAATATGCGTGGACTCTTCTTGTCAAATTTTATTATGAGGTTAATGCTTATTTTGTAATGTGAATTTTGAAGCTTCCTTTTTCAAAGATATGGGACAAATTTAATAGCATGAGAATTATCTATACCTTGAAGGTTTGGTAGGTATTATGGACTGAATGATCGTGTGCCCCCCCACCTTTATATGTTGAAGCCCTACCCTGCAATATGACAGTATTTGGAGATAGGGCCTTTGAGAGGTAATTAGGTGTAGATGAGATCATGAGGGTGGAGTCCCCATGATGGGATTAGTATCTTCATAAGAAAAAGAGAGGCCAGAGCTCTCTCTCTCTCTCTGCCAAGTGAGGATGGCCTCCATCTGCAAGCCCGGAAGAGGGTTCTCACTAGGGACCAAGTCTGCTGGCACCTTAATTTTGGACCAGTGAATGCTTTCCATATCTATAGCTGTTATGAAAAACCAACAAAAGTAATTTGCTTTCTGTAGATGAGTAACACACTTTGACTGTCTTACCTTATGGATACATCAACTCTGCAGCCCTATTACAGGTTCCCAGATCATCTCTATTCCACAGAAATTCATTTTGGTCAGTTACATTGATGGCATCATGGTAACTGGACCTAGTAAGAAAGAAGTAACAACTACTTAGGACATAGGTAAGCCAGATGGTAGGAGGTAAATCTGACCAAAAATCAGGTTTCTGCCACCTCAGTGAAATTTCTAGGGTTCCAGTGGTCTGGGACATGTCAACATAGCTCTTTGAAAGTAAAGGACAGATTATTGCATTTGGCTCCTCTTATCACAAAGATGCTTTCTACTCTGTGGGCCTCTTTGAATTTTGGAGGCAACAATTACCTCATCTGTGTATGCTACCCTGATCCATTTACTGAGCAACCTGAAAAGTTGCTAGTTTTGGGCAGGGTCCTGCAACAGGTCTGGGCTCCCATGCAAATTTTTTTTTTTTTTTTTTAGATTTTATTTATTTGTCAGAGAGAGAGAGCGCTCTTGCTCAAGAGCAGGGGGAGGGGCAGAGGGAGAAGCAGGCTCTCCACTGAGCAAGGAGCCCGATGCAGGACTTGATCCCAGGACCCTGGGATCACAACCCGAGTCAAAGGCAGATGCCTAACCGACTGAGCCACCCAGGCATCCCCCATGCAAATTGTTCTTAACCTGAGATGTATAACCTAGCAGATCTGTTGGTGCTGGAAGCAAATTACCATGTTACCTCAGTTATCTATCATGAACTGGGTCTTATCTGACGAACAAAGCTATAAGATTGAATATACACTGCAGCATTTCACCACCAAATGGAAACCATCACCAGATGGATTTGAGCAGGTCCTGAAAGCCTAAGTTGCATGCCCATGTTCAATACTCCCCTCTCAACCTGAACCTATGGTATGGAGCATTGCCTATGGCCAATTAACTAAGAAAGATATATTTGAACCTGTTTTACAGATGGTTCTGTATAAAATGCTATCAATATTCCAAAGTAGACAGCTGTAGCACTATAATCCCACTCTGGATTGACTCTGAAGGACAGCAATGAGAGACAATATGGAAGTGGTTCTTACCTTCTGTAGTGATCCACTAGTAAAATTATGACTTACCATCCCTGCAACTGTAGCTTTGCTGGTCTGGAAGTCATAATTTCAAGGAAAGAAAACTCTATTACTCTATTAGCTTGGGTGGTTGATTTTGATTAGCAAGGGGAAATTGGAATTCTACAATTCAATGAAGGCAAGGAGGAATATGTCTATAATGCATGGAGCATCTCTTAGTTTTCCTTTTCTTGTCAAATTCCTCCTTTAGTTTCTATATTCTTGAACTAGATTTATATCTAATTCCGTGACAAAGGGTTCTAGAAATAAGGTCTCTCTGTCCTCATGGGTTCCACCTGTCCCCACAGGTTCTAACATATCTTTGCTTCTGACTTCATGTTCCTCTTCCCTTACTGCCTCCCCTGTTGACTTCAGACTGCAATAAGATATTGCTCCCACAATTGCATAATGTCAATTCCTTGTAATAAATTTCATATTATGTATGTATATTTCCTAGAAGATCTGTTTCTCTGGCTAAACCCTGACTGGTATAAAATATTTATCTGCCTCCATTTCTGACTTGATCTAACTTTGCTGTTCTGATTCCTCCTTCCTGGCCTGGTCCCCATTTTGTTCATGTTCTTTAGGATTTTAGCATTAATGCTCTTCTCTCATTACACTTTCTTTCACACATATTCTTCATGGACAAGCTCATCAGTTCCCAATAACTGTCACTTATATCCCCTTTCCTCTTAAATTGTACCTCTAGACCAAACTTCTCTCTGAGCTGAAGAGTGATGTTTTGCCAGCCTTCAGAACATCTCTAATTGGATATTTTGGAGGTATACCAGACTTAACATTTCCAAAGATGAATTTATATTCTTGATCTTGGTTGGGACACTATATATCAAGTAGCCTAACTCATTTATCAGTGTCTATTGTAGCACTTATCAGAAAGATTTGTAATAATGATACCTCTAGCCCCACTAGACTTGAAGATGTTGAAGAAAGACAGCAACGTGTTATTCTTCTTATCCTAAGCACTCAGCATGAGGAGCAATATATAGTGGGCACTTAATATATGTTTAATGAAGGAATGGATGAAATAATGGATTCATAGAGAAGACAAATTTCAGAGAGATAATAAATAACAACAGAAGAGTAATTTCTTCAACAAATTTCTAATTTGAAGATCTAGGTGTATAGTATAATTTTCCAAAAATTGTAAATATGCAGTTTTCCTAAAATATTGTTTAACCAGAAGGTTTCAGTGAAAATGAGTGTATTTCAAATTGTTAGATTTTTGGGGTTCCTGGGTGGCTTAGCCGGTTAAATGTCAAGACTCTTGATCTCAGCTCAGGTCATGATCTCAGGGTTGTGGGATCCAGCCCCAGTTAGGCTCCACACTCAGCTGGCAGTCGGCTTGAGATTCTCTCCTTCTCCCTCTACCCCTCTACCTGCTTGTGTGCTCTATCGCTTTCAAATAAATAAATAAATCTTAAATAAATAAATAAATAAGCAAAGTTTCTTTGCTTTTTAGTATTCATTGAATTTTGTACATAAAGTTCTTCAGGTATTTAATTTAAATTAATGACAGTATGTGAAGCTTTGAGATTTACAACAGTGGAAGTAAACTTTCACAGACGAAAATATGTTCTAATTTTTCTAATAGAAATTTTATAATTAAATACAGTTTATGCTAAGTAACCACAATACTAGTGGAAGAACATATTTATTTTTAGATTAAGGATAGCTGCAGAATCTTCATTAACAAGTGAAGGTATAATTTGTATTTGCGTTATCAGAAAAACAACTACAGTTGTCAATATATCTGCTAGAAAAATAATTAAATGCCCAAATGCAAACAGTAAAACATAAGATTCTGCCTTCAGTTGCATTATCATATTCCACGGCTCACTTATCAAATTATTCCTCTCTAAAGAAGCCATTTCTTTACTGTCACACATTAATAACACATAATCACTATACCTTCCAGAATTTTCTAGGCTTGAATTTTCAGAGAAACTCTGCAAGAGAAATCACCTTTGGGGTGTGCTATTGATATACTCTTAGTTTTTAGACCTATTCATAGTACAACTTACATTTAATTTAGAAAACTCCTATTTATACATTTTTGTATTTTAAAATTATTCACAAAATTAAATCAAACAATGGAACAAGAAATCTAGAGGACACAAGTCTCAGAGTAAAATGGTAAAAAACAGCTCCAATTAATTTATTAAGATATTATTGCAGGATTTTTTTTCCCCCGCCTGGTGCCAGCAGTTCTTGGTCATGCTGCTTCGAAGAATGAAGAGGTAGACCAGACAGAGTGGTGGGCAACAAAGTAAGGTTTATTGAGCGATAGCAAAGTGATAGTACAAAGCTCCTGAGGAGGGAGGGGACCCAGAAGGGGTTGCCGCAGTTTTTTTCTTTTTTTGAAGATTTTATTTATTTGAGAGAGAGAGAGAGAGAGGATGAGAGGGAGAGAGATCATGAGCAGGAGGGAGGGGTAGAGGGAGAAGCCGACTCCCCCCAGAGCAGGGAGCCGGACATAGGACTCAATCCCAGGACTCTCGGATCATGACTTGAGCCGAAGGCAGATGCTTAACCGACTGAGCCACCCAGGTGCCGGCTACCGGGAGTTTCTAAGTCTAGGGGTTTTTATGGGCTTTGTTAGCGGGCTGTTTTAATCTGATTAACCCTCCCTTTCCTGTCATCCAATCAGATTTTTGTCACCTATCTATAATATGGGAAAGGGTGGAAGACTCCTTCCAGGATAGTGTAAAATCCTTTTAAGGGTGGTTTTCTCTTAGGGTGGGGGCCCCTTGTCCCTGCCTGCCTACCTTCCAACTATCCTTCATCATTATGTCTTGTAGTTGTTTTATCCTGTGTTTAGACACAAAGCTTTTATGAATCCTCACTACCTAAAGGATCAAGTTACAAATCTAAAATTCTCAAAAATCTGGGTTAACCTTTTCTGGTTCATTTTCTAGAACCCCTCCCTATGCAATCTAAGCTTCCAACACACTGAATTCATCCCAATTTCTTATACATATTATGCACTTACACTATGTATTTTTCTTTCTTCCGCCTTATTTCACCCATATGGAATGCAAATCTTCCTCTTTTTTGGCCTGATCATTCCACAAAGATCATAGTCTTCATTAAGTTCTTCATAGGCCCCAAAGTCTTATTTCCTTCTGTTTTATCAGTATTTTTACTTTTGCATGCTTATTGCTCAGATCAAGTCATCTGACAAAGCTTATCAACAGGGAAATAAAAGACAATCTTTTCCCAGTAAGGACATTAAATATTTGTGATCAAAAAGACAATCTACCACAGTGGCCCTTCTGATTACAATCATTCAGATCTTTCTCCTTTCCTCTTTCACCCTCCTCACCAAGGGAAATTACCTAAAAGTCCTATACTGTCATTATTTCCAACTCAAAGCCCATGATCTATGAGTGATGCTGTAGTCTCTGTTCTAGGTATGTCTCCTCTTAATTTGGAGACCTATGAAATAGGCAAGTTAAGTTATTTGCCCCACAACACACAAAATGCAGTGGTGGAACAGGGACTGGATAACCACCATGAATGATCCCATTCAGAAAAAGAAAGAATGGGCGGCACACACCGGTCCTGAAATCTCACAAAGTAGAAGTTGCTGCTGACTGAAAGTGCGGAATATTGAGTAGGTCCTGAATTTGCTATTTGGAGGTTAGTTCTAGTCTGGTCTTCTCTGTGGCTCCTGTTTCACCTTTTGGGAAGTCTTGCCCTAGATCTATCTAAAGGGGGCATTAGAGAATAGGCTCTTGGGCGCCTGGGTGGCTCAGATGGTTAACCGTCTGCCTTCGGCTCAAGTCATGATCTCAGTGTCCTGGGATACAGTCCCATGTCCTGCTCTCTGCTCAGCAGGGAATCTGCCTCTCCCTCTGTGCTCATGTGCTCTTTCTCTCTAAGAAATAAATCAATAAAATATTTTTAAAAAAGAGAGAGGAATAGGCTCTCCTTGGAGGATGAGTATATCTCTCAACCTGCTTTTCATCTCCAGAACACTGGGAGTCCAAGTGTCATTTTACATCTCAATTAGTCACAGTGTCTTTAACCAAATCTGATGTTTTTTTTTTTTAAATCAGTACTTAGTCTATGTTTCTTTTATTTGATTCCAGTCAACTCTATCCATCAATGGCTATACTCACATTTCTTTTTAGTGTATACCTTTAGTATACCTCCTTCTTTCTTGAGATTTAATTTTAGTTACCTTGATCCTGCCAGGCTTTGGTGAGAGAGCTACACCCTTATCTCTTTGTCCAGACTTTCAAACTGTTTAGTTGAGAGACTTTACTAAGACACCTTAATTTATTGAGATGTTTCAATAAAGGTGTGATGGCTACATTCATGATTGGGTCACTCTCTTGAGATTTTTAATTGATCTTTTTGATTAAACATCAATCTCCATTTTATCTTGTACAGCTGAAGATAAGTATCAGCCATATCTTCTAACTCTGCAAGTCTCTAAATTTCTGGATGCTCCATTCCCTGTCATTGAAGCTTGCAAACGGACCAATTATTTTCTGAGTCCATCTCTATATTGTATTACCTTGTCAACTGTTGCCAATAGTAGCGGACACATGTAGCTTACATACCCTTTGCCTGCCATTTCACTGAAACCTATGAATTTATGAGGGACATTAACTGCCTTCCATTGAGAACAATTTCATCAAATGTTCCAACACTGTATAACATAATTGCTATCCTTCCAGCTTCTGGTAACAGTTATCTTGTGACCTGTTGCTGGGACCTGAATCCAATGCCAGATATTTTAGGATTTTTATTATGGTAATATACCACCACACTTTCAGTGCCAAATTCTTTATTAGAGTAAGCTAAGTTAGGCTGCAGTAACAAACCACTCTTAAATCTGGTGACTTACAGCAATAAAGGCTTATTTCTAATTCTCAATACATGTTCATTGTAGGTCAACAATGTCTCTGCTCCAAGTAATTTTCACCCTGACACCCAAACCTCTATCTAGAACACTGCTGATCTTGTGGCAAAGAGAAAATAAAAAACATGGCACATATCGGATATTAAAGCTTCTGCATGACACAGGTTACGTTTCACATTTCATTTGCTAATAAAGCAAGTCATCTTATCAAGCCTGACATGGAGGCAAGTGAGTGATAATCCCCTTCCAGGGGCAGGCAACAGGTATTTGTATACAATATAATCTACCACACATACAAAAACCACTTCTAAAGCTAAAATGTATTTTTACAATATGCATCCTCTACTATGGCTTCTTTTCCTTGATTGTCTCTTCTATTCTTCCAATCCCTGCTTAAAATATAGGTCACAGACTCTTTCCCCTAACTTTAATATGCATAATTCAAACTTTTATAATTTGACATTCTGGTTAATATTTAATGAAATTTATATTCTGAAACCCTGCTTTGTTAACATTTCCAAAGGCATCACTTGACTACCTGTATTATTCTTACTGCTAGAAATTAGGTCAATAACCAAAAGGTAAGCCTTTGGATTTTACTTTCTTATCAACAGTGATATTCCTGTATACCTAATCACTTATTTTAGTATCATTTGTTATCATTAAAAATAAAATATTACTAGAAGAAATCTTCCTTCTAATTTCTTTACTTTCACCTGCACTTACTGCTGTTAGGTTTCTGTGTTCACTTTTAAGTATTTTCCATGATCTTTGTGCCGATTTTTAAAAATATAGCCACATTCCTCACCATCATCTGTAAAGTCAACGTCAGAGTCCTTTACAACCTCCCTGATCTCATTTTCTTCTCTCCTTTGATATGGCTCGGCCACACTGGCCTTGGGTTTTGTTTTGTTTTTCAATCTCAAAACCATTTCTCTTGAAAATAGAACATTCTTCACCTATATTGTCACCAGGTTACCACCTTATTTAAGTGTGGTAACCTTAATTTATTTAGATATTATGGCTAAATTTATTTATTTACCTCCTCAGCGGGACCTTCCTTATCTACTTTCACTTAAGTAATCTTCTTTTCTCCACTCCCGCATGTCCTTCTCTCATTATCATATTTTATTGGTTTATCATGATCTAAAGTTATCTTGTTTATTTATGTGTGTATTCCCAACTTCCATGTAATCTCCGTTAGGATAGAACAATGTTTGCATTCACTGCTTTCTCCCAAGTTAGAACAGGGCCTGGTGCTGAGTAGGTACTTAATGCAAGATTTACTGAATGAATTATAAAGACACCATCTTTCCAAGCTTCATGATATATCATCTTAATAATCACCACTTATTTATTTTTTATTTCTTGCTGAACTTATCTCCTCTTCCAAACATTGCATGTTGGAATTCCTCACCTCCATGTCTTTTGTCTCTCTTCTTACCTTCTACCTTCTCTCCCTAAGCAATCTCATTCAGTCATATGGCTTCATTTCCCATGAATAAACTGAGTCCTAACTATATTTTTCTAGTCTAGATCTCTCTTCTGCCCTTACAGAGCTCTACTTGTATTTTACATAAATACATATCCCATCATTCTCTATTGTTCCTTCTCTCAGTAATTGGCATCAACATCCAAACAGCCAGTCAAAACTGAACCTCTGAAATTATCCTGGGCTTCTTCTCCTCACTTCCTCACATTCGACCAATGTCTGGAATCCTTTCTACATCATCACATTGCCCACACTAGTCCAATCTACTATTATCTCTCGCAAGGACTACTACAGTGCCCCATGATCCGTCTACTCCCCTTTCATGCTTATGTCCTCTAATCCATTCTTCATAGACAAAGCAATCATTTACAACCACAGCAACTTTTTTTTTTTTTATAACTTACTAATGCTCTCAGCATAAAACCCTTGATGTGTAAGTGGTCACTGGCCCAGTAGATCTGATCCCCACCCTGCTCTCCCTTCAAGTTGCAACCGTACCAGACCTCCTTCAGCTCTTCAAAAGGATCTCTCCAGTTTCAGCCTGTCACACTTACTACCACTATTTTGTACACCTGCGTCACCCGTTCTGACTTGGTTAATGTTTACTTCTCCTTTAGGTCTAACGTTGCTTTTTCGGAGGAGCCTTTTCCTAGTCTTTGCAGTCCCAGTCACTGGTGTGATGATTCGATTAATGCTTTACGTAGGAGATTGGAGAGGGTTCAGATTGTCCGGAGACCCCTGAAGCCTGTCCCATGTTACGACTTTCAGATTAAAAAAAATAATAAAAACAACAGATAAATGAAAATTGTGTTAGAATACTGTAAGGTATGTGTAAGCACAGGGGCACTCAAAACACATTTTTTTTTTAAAGATTTTATTTATTTATTCATGAGAGACAGAGAAAGAGAGGCAGAGGGAGAAGCAGACTCCCAAGGAGCAGAGAGCCCGATGCGGGACTCGATCCCAGGACTCTGGGATCCCAGGATGCTGGGATCCCAGGATGCTGGGATCATTAAACACATTTTAAGAATGCAATTTTGGGGGCGCCTGGGTGGCTCAGTTGGTCAGGCGTCTGCCTTCGGCTCAGGTCATGATCCCGGAGTCCTAGGTCATGATCCCGGAGTCCTAGGTCATGATCCCGGAGTCCCAGGATCGAGTCCCCCATCGGGCTCCCGGCTCAGCGGGGAGCCTGCTTCTCCCTCTGACCCTCTCCCCTCTCATGCCGTTTCTCTCTCGCTCGCTCTTAAATAAATAAATAAATAAATAAATAAATAAATAAATAAATAAAACCTTTTAAAAAAAATGCAATTTTGGGTCCCGGGACAGGGTACAAGGGTATGGCACTGAACATTAAATCCAGAGCCCGGACCTGGAGATTTAGAGATTACGTTGAGAGGCCATCTTCAAGTCATTTACTAGTTTTTAACTTCTGCCCATAAGCGACAGTCTAAGACAGGAAGCAGCTGCAGTCCTCTTAAACCGCAGTCGCTGACCTTAGTAGCAAGAGACTCGACCCCGCTCTCCAGGCGTCAGACGCTCAGCAGCCGTAGGTGCCGCGTAGCTCCCTCAGCACCCGTCACCGCCGGCAAGCGCGCGCCCAGCACGCGCGCCCTCAGCGCCTTAGAGCGCGCGGACAGGCTTGCAGGCGCCTCCCAAGAAGACCCACCCATTCCATTTCTCAACGCGAGTCCTCCCGAGAAAGTGCCTGTCTAGTCAATCAAAGTGTTCCAGTTTCGACGCAAAAATTTACCAGTCAGAAGCATATATAGGACAGGAATGAGAATGTTTCGCTTGGGACTGGAACGCTAAGGGTCTGCCCAGGTTAGAGCGGACGCATAAGGCGCTGGATCAAGGCAGGCACTGTTAAGGACAGCCGCATCCGGGCCCTCCTGCTGCAGACTGCCCTCCGAGCCAGGGGTCCTTTAGGGAGGAGGTTCTGGGTGACTTTGGACGTCCGTTCATCCTCGGTGTAGGGATTACTTAGTGCTGGGCCTTGCGCGTTTGGTTTTTTTCTTCTTGACCGGAGGCCTCTGCAGCAACCATGTTACGCCAGATCGTGGGTCAGGCCAAGAAGCATCCGAGCGTAAGTTCGTGACCCCTTTAGCAGTGTCTTCACTTGTCCATTCTGTGTCCGGCTGCGGCTTCCTCCTTCACCTTGGGGTGGACCCTGCCTTACTTATTTTGTCGTCCTAGTTACCCAGGCCCTTGAGCTCTGACCACGCCAGGTATTGAGGGGCTTAGGCTGGCAGGCGGAAGGTGAGGGATACCTTCGAGGGAAATGAACTAGTGAATGTTGGAACAGTCTGGTGGTTGCACCCTCTCATATGTTGGTCCGACCCAGGGGTAGTTGTGCGCCGTGTGGGTTGGAGACCAGCAGGTCAGGTTTCCTATTTGTTGTGCCACCTCAGAGATCTAGTGCTCACTGCATTGCACCATCAGGCAATTACAAAGGTCTATAATCTTGAGGATTCTGAGACGTCTTGACGTCTTGAGATTTGGGGGGAGTTCGGTAGCGCAGAGGTGACTCGCGGTTAAGTTCATCTTAATTTTCTCCCAAGCACATCAATTTGTTGTGGTCCTAAAACTCAGTTACGCAGTTTTTATCTTAAACGCATTTCGTAACTACGCTTTAAGCATTGGTAGCAGTATGTTTTCAGAGATTTATGCATGTAACCAATATTTGTAATGGGCGTGCTTTTGTTTTTGCTCATTCAAACTCTTAATTTCACAGAATTTGTGTTTCTCAAAACACTTATAAGACAGACCAAGAAGTTGTTTTACAAGCCTCAAGATAAAGGAGGCTGGGAAATTTAATGAGAATAATGTATAAATATTAGGTGACGATTGGATATATTTTCCTGGAAATTTAAAAATTTGAATATGTTTTTCTACATTAAACCAGATTCATCCTCACATCTTTCAGAAATTCCATTTCTTTTAAACACAGTTATAAGAGATCTTACCTCAATGTAGGGTGTATCTTTATTCAAATTTTAAAACAAGACCGAAAAATAGCAGTTTGAGACTTCAGAATTAGTGTGTAGGAACTATTGTAGCCTTTCTTTTTTTCAGTAGCTAGGTATTTGAAGCTGGCTGTTAATTCTTGTCTGTTTTGTGTTTGATTCTAGTTGATCCCCCTCTTCGTATTTATTGGGGCAGGAGGTACTGGAGCAGCGCTGTATGTCTTGCGCCTGGCATTGTTCAATCCAGATGTCAGGTAAGTACTTAAAAATATTTATAACTTTAGTGGTCTAAAGCTGGTTTAGGAGCCACAGTCTTCAGGGAGTCAACATCAAGTAGTAGAAAGAGCCTAAAATTTTGTAGTCGTATATAGAAAGTTCAGATCCTAGTTCTGTTGTCATCTACTTGGTTCATAAAATTGTCTAAATTTCTCTGAGTCTCTTTTTTCTCGTGGGTAGAGTAGAACTACTAATATCTATTTGTAATCTTGTGAGAATTGAGATAAGTATTTTTATAAAATACTTAAGCAGGGTTACTCATACATGTAAATGGTTTTTCCTGCTTTTCCTCAATAAGGAATGCTTTTTTTTAAGATTTTATTTATTTGTCAGAGAGCGGGCATAAGCAGGGGGGTGGCAGGCAGAAGGAGAAGCAGGCTCCCTGCTGAGCAAGGATCCTGATGCTGGACTTGATCCCAAGACCCTGGGATCATGACCTAACCCGAAGGCGACTCTTAACCAACTGAGCCACCCAGGTGTCCCAGGAATGCTTCCTTTTGAAGTTAGAGAACAACAGGCAACAAAAAGAGATTTATTGTTATTCTGTATACTTTTCTATATGTCACTTCTTTAGTAAAAGCCAAGTTTAAAGTTTCTGGTGACAGGGATAGGGACAGATACACTGCCCCAGGGGCCCTGTGTTCTACCCTTTTTTCTTTTTTCTTTTTTTTTTTAAATTTAAATTCAATTAGTCAACATATCATCATTATCATCATATCATCAAACCATCATTAGTTTTTGGTGTAGTGTTCAGTGATTCATTAGTTGCGTATAACACCCAGTGCTCATCACATCACATGGACTCCTTAATGCCCATCACCCTGTTACCCCATCCCCCGACCCACCTCCCTTTCAGCAACCCTCACTTTCCCAGAGTCAGGATTCTTTCATGGTTTGTCTCCTTCTCTGATTTCTTCCCATTCAGTTTTCCCTCCCTTCCCTTAACGATCTTCTGTGCTAATTCTTTTATTGCACATATGAGTGAAACAATATGATAATTATCTTTCTCTGATTGACTTATTTCACTTAACATAATACTTTCCAGTTCCGTCCATGTTGATGTAAGTGGTAGGTATTCATCCTTTCCATGGCTAAGTAATATTCCGTTGTATTTATGAACCACATCTTCTTTATCCATTCATCTGTTGAGGACACCTCAGATCCTTCCGCAGTTCGGCTATTGTGGACATTGCTGCATGAACAATGGGGTGCAGGTGCCCCTTTTTTCCACTACATCTGTATCTTGGGGTAAATACCCAGTAGTACTCTACCCTTTTTTCTTTTTTTTTTTTTAAAGATTTTATTTATTTATTTGACAGAGACACAGCAAGAGAGGGAACACAAGCAGGGGTAGTGGGAGAGGGAGAAGCAGGCTCCCCGCAGAGCAGGGAGCTCGATACGGGACTCGATCCCAGGACCCTGGGATCATGACCTGAGCTGAAGGCAGTCGCTTAACCAACTGAGCCACCCAGGCGCCCTCTACCCTTTTTTCTAACTGATTACATGGAATTGCTAATTATAGAGCCTGTGTCTGCTTCAACTCTAATGAAAACAACACCATACTTATTCTAATAGAAAATGAGATCTATTCGAAATACAAGCTTCTTAGGAAGTACAAAAATATTTTAAATAGTTTTATTTTTATAACAATTATAATGTTTGTTCCTTTTAGTTGGGATAGGAAGAATAACCCAGAACCCTGGAACAAACTGGGTCCCAATGATCAATACAAGGTAAGCTACAAAATTGTTTCAGAATTGCTAGAAAGTATATTTTAATACTCATGTAGTAGGTTTTTATTTTTTTTTTTTAAATTGGATATACATGTAAAATTCCATTACGATGAACTTTGGAGGAATTGCTAGATTTTCTATATGAAATTAAAATGGCGTATTTCCCTAGCAAATATTTTTTTCTAAGGATTTTATTCACAGACTTTAGACTCTGATGTGAAATTAAGATAATGTTTTCATGATTTGACTAAGTAAAAAAAGGAGAGGTGGTAATAGCTATCATATACCATTTTCTTAGATCTTGAATAGTCTAGTGCAGTGGTTTTCAGACTTCAGTGTACATAGGCCTCACCTGGAGAGGTGGTTAAAACACATATTGTTCAGCTCCATCTCCAGAGATGCTAATTTAGTTGGTCTGTTGTGGAGAGTAAGAATTTGCATTTCTAACAAGGTTTCAGGTCATGCTGATGCTGCTGGTCCATGGACCACACTTGGAGTAGTACTATTTCAGTGGATGGTTTGGTTGGCTCTTCTTTCTTGTTGGTATGGTTGAAATATTTCAGGTGAGGGTAATGAGGAAGAAATGAAAGTCATGTGGAACTTAAATTTTACAATGAACCTTCTAACTAAACTTTTTAACATCTTACCTGAAAAGTGGTTTGTGGGACTACGCTTTCACAGAATGAGTTTATGGACTGAGACCATTTATTTATTTAATTAATTTTTTTTTTAATTTTAATTTTTTTTTAAGATTTTATTTATTTAAGAGAGAGAATGAGATAGAGCATGAGAGGGGGGAGGGTCAGAGGGAGAAGCGGACTCCCCGCTGAGCAAGGAGCCCGATCTGGGACTTGATCCCGGGACTCCAGGATCATGATCTGAGCCGAAGGCAGTCGCTTAACCAACTGAGCCACCCAGGCGCCCCTATTTATTTTACCTGAGATACAATTGGCACATAAAATTATGTTAAGTATAAAGTATACAAGGTTGGTTTGATAAATTTATGTATTGCAGTATGATTGCTATATTAGCATTACCTAACTCTTTTATTGTGTCACATAATTACTATTTTTTGAGAATAATTAAGACCTAGTGTCTTAGTGGCTTTGAAATTTATAATACAATATCGTTGACTATAATTCCTGTGTTGTGTATTGTATCTCCAGGATTTATTTATTTACTGGTTGCAAGTTTGTACTCTTAAACAACATCTCCCTAATTCCCCCACCCCCCAGCCCCTAGTAACCACCATTCTACTACTTTTACAAGTTCAGCTTTTTTAGATTTTGCATATAAGGGATATTATGCAGTATTTGTCTTTCTCCGTGTGATGTATCTTACTTAGCATAATGCTCTTAAAGCCCATCCATGTTTTAAATCTGAGACCATTTGTTAATTCCCTAAAAGAACCTTCCTTATGTGTAAAAATTTTGCATACAAAGAATCTCTGGAAATGCTAAAACCAGGGCACCTTTATTAGGGTATAATTCACATTGCATACAATTTACCTATTTAAAGTGTATAACTCACCATGTGCACTTCCAGTGTACTAAGGTGCTTCATCAAAAGAGAAATAGCAGTGTGCTTAAGCACTTTCAAGAAGGGGTGCTCTGACCAATGAATGTCCAGGACTCTTAGCCAATCTACATCAGATGGAGATGGCTGCTATCATTATTGATAAGAGCAACTTTTAAGATAATTATTGCCCTTTTCTGATTACAAGCTTTCCACTCAATTGTCTGATCATAATTGGGCTCCCAAATCTAAATGGATGTCCCTGCAAGAAACAGATAAAAATGTGCTGGCAAAGCTGAAATGAGCCACCTAACCTGTATATTACATTTTAACTTGAAAAAATGGTAAAGGGGCATCCTGATTTATTTTTCCTCTCTTATAAGATTGTTTAAATAAGTACATTCTAAAGAAAATGATTCCACATCCAGTAAACTTTAAAAAAGAAAAGGGAAAAAAACAGGCCTTGATCCTTCCACCAAATTGTGTATTGGAGTCTCTGGGTAGGTGTAGTTCAAAAAGCTCCCTAGGTGATTCTGATAATGAAGGCAATTAACCAGTGCCCTGGCACTATGATAACACATGCCAGTATGAGGACATATGAAGTGGAAATGGAATGTTGCTGCAACAAAAGTCTAATTTGTGTGGCATGAATGGGATGAGTAGCTATGACACTGATTTAGAGATTGGAAAGATGAATCATGTTTGATATAAAACATTTGGTAAGTATCACCTGCTGTAACTTGGAAGGACGACCATGTGCCTAAAGAGCTTGTTACAGGAAAAGATCTTGGAAAACAGGATTTTAGTGGACTATTATTGCCTTTATTTGCCAAGAGATGAACTTGTAGAATTGGGCAATTTGTAAGCAGAAATAAAAGGGAACCAAGTCCAGAAACTTGTGAACCTGGAGTGAATAAGCCTGCTACTGCTTCTAAACCTAAACAGTGAGGTAGACTAGATTATTTTTATCATTCACTACCTGTCACCTAAGATACTTGTTTTTTTTATTTTTGGCCACATCACTTATTCTGGAAAATCCTAAGTGAGGGGAAGTGATACCTGCCATTTCTGAACCAGTGTGTGCTTCCTCCATTGTTCTATTTCATCTGTCCTGAGACCAAAACGGACAGTTAAGGGTTTTTCATTCAACCCAGAATTGCAATGAAGAGAACATGGAGCAGTCAGCTTACAAATGGCATGTAATGTGAGTGAAAAACAAACCTTTGTTGTAAACCACTAAATTTTGGGGATTGTTGCCACTTTGCAAATCTAGCCGAAGTTAAGACAAACGAGAGGACTAAAATAGGATTTAAGCTTATTAAAGGCCCAGCAACACTCTCAACTGAATAAAACATCCCAAAGCCATGATCAGAATATGTGTGCCTTCCCAACTGTTGTTCCAGAGACCTTCCAGGTAGCCACCATTAAATTGAGAAAAAGAATGGGGACATGGAAGCTGAAAAATAAAACAGATTCGAAAATTACTTCGTTACTTCAGAGAATTTTGATGCTGGCACATGGAACCAAATAGAAGCAAATACATCAGAAGCCTGCTTAGTTTTGACAAAATTGGCAAAGATATTATGACCTTTCCACTCTGCATGAGTGAAAGGGCTTGATCCTGTTTCTCATTCAGTGTTTGGCGAATCTTGTAACTTGATCTTCAGTTGCTTCTTTTATAAAGTAAGAATGAGTAAGGCTGTGTCTGGCATCCATTAGAAGAACCCAATCAGTGTTTACTTTCTTAATATGTAGCCTGTAGTTCTTTTATAAATAGTCCCTCTAATTTTGTTAACATGTTAAGGTCACACAAATTAGTTTATTTTCAAAAATCTCGTTGTTTAGGTTCAATTGCTTCATAAGAACAATGTCAGAACAAAGATTACTGCTCTTCGGCTTATTTGTACTTCTCTGTCTATGCAACTTTGTGTATAACTCAAGGATAAGCCTTACAACCTGGGAATTTTTCTTTTTTTAAAACTTAAGTAAAATAAGAATTTTGAATTCTTCAGTTAGACATAAAGAAGTTAGGGTATGTTTGGAAAAATAAAGAAAAGGGTTTGAAAAATAATAGAAACAGATTTATGAGCTGTTTAAAAACCCTGAAGAAAATGTTGATGATGATTCTGCAGTTTTAGTTCTTTTGGAGTTAAAATAACATAGTCTTCAAGTAATTATATCACAACCTCTTCAGTGTTCTTTGGCACAAGATTCTGTAAACCCAAGATTATAGCCTTGGGCTTAATGTATAAATCCTAATGTTTTCTCAGTAGAAACTCTGGAGATGTTTCAAATACAAATCATTTTAAAAAAAAGATGTTGAGAGTTAGAGGCAGTTTTTTCCTAAAGCAATCATAGATTTCTAAAATTAATTTTAGTTGGAAATTTTTAGAAATTACAGGTTTCCAAACATGCATTATGATTTAAATACAGTATTATTTAGAAGCAAAAATACGGTATTTAAAAACTTTTGTACCGGAAGTGGTCAGATGTCACTTTGATATTGATGCAATTTGATTTAGAAAATTGAGGGAACATACTAACACTGTTCTTCTGAGGTAGATTGAATATTTTTACCTTACTAAAATCATTATTAAAGGACTGGAATTTTAGTGTCTTTCTTTGGATGACTTTTTTTTTTTTTTTTTAAGATTTTATTTATTTGACA